CAGGCAGGTACAATGCCACTGAGCTAAATTCCCGGCCCTTCCCTATCATTTTTTAAGGACTGGGCACTAAACTGGTTGCATCCTCTGGATTTCTAATACACCTACAAGTCTGGGAGGGCACTGGTACTGTCTCATTTACTTAGTAACAACTGACACTGGGATGCTTAGTGCCTTGCCAAAGCTCTTCAGCAAGTGGCAGAGCTGGATTCTTAGCCATACCAACAACAGTAACAGGTCTACCATTCCTAATTTGGAAATCGGAAATTCCAAATGCTCCAAAATGCCAGACTTTCTGAGCTCTAACAAGATGCTCAAAAAGTTCTGAATTTGGGAGTTTCAGATTTTGAAATAGGAATGCTTAACCTGTGACGTCTATGCAGATGCCCTCAAACTGGGAAAACTTCCCACTCACACCTTCTGGTCCCGACCAACCTGCAACGGATTCAAGAGCTTACTTCCCTCACAATGTGTCCAGTGCTTCACCTGCAATCCTCAACTGGCCATGACTCCCCAGTGGGGTTACCTTGTCCTGCAGGGCTGTGCTGAGCTCCTTCTCCAGATGGGCCTGCTTTTCCACCCACTCCCGAGTGGCCTTGCTGTGCTCCTCGGTCAGTTCATTGAGGGCACCCTGGAGTTGTTGCAGGTTACTGGCAAACTCCCGCAACTGAGACATGAAGGACTCGTGTCACCTGGGGTCCAACTGGCATGGCCACCGCCACCTGCTCTCTAATGTCTGGTGGCTCCATGCCCCACCCCCCATCAATTAAAACAACCCCCACCGCTAATTCAACATTTAGGGCTATAACCCAGCCCGCTGGCAGCAGTCTACTACGGGATGAGAAAAGTGGCCGGAGGGACTGAAGCCTGAGCCAGATGCCAGGAGTTTTCTTAACCCTTGGGGAGCCTTCCAGACCACCTCGGCCCTGAGGGAATCCACGTATGGCCCAGTCCCTCACCTTAAAGGACAGGTCCCCATTCTCTTCAGAAAGCTGGTTGATCTTGCGGTCCATCTGGCCCTTCTCCGTCTTCAGGTCCTGGCACTGCTTCAGAGTCTCATGCAGCCGCAAGGTGAGGCTGCCAGAAGGGAACAGTGAGGGAAGGGTATCCCTGACCGAGGCAGGGAGGCTAGGAGATAGAAGGCAGGAAGAGCTCTACCTCTCATTCTTGCCTCGAAGCTCCTCAAGCTCCCTGGGCTCCAGAGGACTGGCTGCCTGCTTCTCGTTCAGCAGAGCAAGGCGGTCAATGCGCTGCTGCATCATGGATATCTGGGCATCTGCCCCAGAGTGGGGAGGAGGAGAAGGGGGTCAGCACAGAACTTCAGGAGCAGGGTCGAGGAGGAAGGGATGTGGCTATGGGAAGAGCTGCCAGAAAGTCCGCCTGATCCTCAGCCTGGGGCTGAGAGCTCCAGGGCCAGCAGAGGGGACAATGTGGGAGGGTAAATCATCATCTAGAGCTTCCCCAGATGCAAATCCCCAATCCTGCCTCATATCCACATCGTGCCAGGCACCCACCCTTCTCGGTGAGGAGCTTGCGGTGCTCAGCCAGCTCCAGCTCCAGCTCATCTCTATTGTTTCTCTCATCTGCAAGCTGCTTCTTCAGTCGTCTCATCTGGAACTGTGGGGTCTGCAGGATGTCACCCATGGGAGAGGCTGGAGAACCTAAGAGGAAGCTGAGAAAGGAGATGGCCCAGAAGCCAGGGTAAGAACCTAAGATCAGAAGCAACCGGCAACAGTCAAGGATGGGGAGCAGGGGCTGATGGCCGTCAGCCCTGGCTGGGAGGCCCAGGTACCTGGGTTCTGTCTGCAGTGCTATCTCGTGCCTCATGACAGGACCTGGAGAAAACTCCTTCTCCCTTCTCCATGCCTTAATTTCTTTGCTGGGCGTGGAGGAGGGGGGTACATATTCTCCTTGCCTCTGTAGAGCAGCACTGAAGGAAGGAGTGCCTTAAACAGGGTACTGCCTTTGAAGGAGGCTATTTGCCCACAACAAATCCCAACCAGTTTGCCCAATTAATTACTGGGTCAGGTGAGGAAGCCCAGATGGACAGTATCCTCCAAACACCCTGACGATGCGAGGGGCTTGGCCTCCAGAATGCAAGGATTTGGGGACTGAGTAGATGCTGAGGCCCCTCCCAGAAAAGGCCCAGGACATACTTGTTTCCACTGGAAGAGGAAGCAACCTTCTGTAGCTCTAGGAAGCGAACCTCCCTCTTGGCCTGGTGGCTGGGTGGGGACAGCTCTTCAGAGAAGGTACTGGAACAGGTGGAAGAGACAGGAACTGGAGACAGACAAGGAGCAGACAAACCACGAAATGTTAGTAAGGGAGGTGAACAGCTTGGCATCGTTGTACCATGTGAAAACTTGCCTTAGTGGTGTGACTCTTTAGACATGTTTTGGAACAGGGTCTCATGATATAGTTTAGGCTGGCCTTGGACCTACTATGGAGCCCAGGCTGACCTCAAACTTACAGTGACCCTCCTACCGCAGCCTCCTGAGTGCTAGCATTATAAGCATGCACCACCACACCTGGCAGACTCTTTGGACACTTCCATGTAAACTTCAGAGGAAGGCACTAGGCAGACCCTAGAGGGTATCTATCCTGAGGTCAGGGCCCTAACTGCAATCAAGTTACAGGGCTTCCTTGTCCAGAGAGCGTCAGTGCTCAGAAAGACCAGAGAGACAGCAACTCCGGGCTATGAATCTGGACCAGGTACCGTGCTTTTCCCACAAGTCAGAGCTAAACAGGCAGCTGGGACCCCTGCATGGGATCTCTCTGCAGCCCCCAACAGCCTCTTGCATTGGAGTCACTGGCCTCTTTCCAGAGGTCTCTGGCTGAACCTTTCACAACCAGTATGTCCTCTTTCTCAAGACCTCTTCCCTTGGTGCCATGAACACTTCTGTGGGACTCTCCTACTTCTCGCAATGTGCTGCCTTCTGCACCCACCCTCAGCTCCCTCAAGGTCTGACGGAGCCTCCTTGCTCTGCTCACGGCATCAATGGCTCCCCACAACATGACCTGCAAACTTGGCCCAGAGCCCTCTCCTGCATTCTGGACTCACATCCCCACCTGAAGGGTCTTGTAAACCTGAATAGAAGGAAATCCAAATTCAACAGCCAGTGAAGAATCTGCCCAGATCTGCTCCTCAGATTCCTATCCCATCAGCCGACCTCCTGCTCACTCACCGCTGTACTGCCAGCCAGACACTCAGGTTCAGTACTCTGATGCCTTATCACACTTACTGGTTTATGTGTTTGCTTCCCACTGAGAACATGAGTTTCACAAAGGGAAAACCTTTTCTAAAGACTCTACATTCCTAGATTCTAAGCCTAGAGTAGTGATTATTTGAAAACTTAAAAACAGACTTGGTGGCTCACCCCTGCAGTCCCAGCATTCCGAGGCTGAGGCAGAAGCATCACAAGTCTGAGCCCAGCCTAGGCAACTTAGCCACTTATCGAGACCCTGTCTCAAAATGAAAAATAGGAGAAAGTCTGGGAGCGTAGCTCAGTCTGAAAGTCCTGGGTTCAGTCCTTAGTACCATCAGACGAAGCAAAAGGTTTAAGTGTGGCTGTGGCTGTGAGGAATCAAGGACACCCTCACAGCAGACACAATAACTTAACAGATATCCTGCTGAACTACTACAGGCAGCAGGGGAAACTCTGTACAGACAGAGTTGATGCTGACATGGCTTAGGACTCAACCCCTCCATCACACACCCGCCCGCACCTCTCTACAACTAGGACCCCAGAAACCCCTGCTCAGATGAGGGGATCCTCAGGAAGGTTCCCACTCACCTTTCTGCAAGAAGATCTCGAGGTCCTCAGTAAGGTTCAGCCCGTCCTCGTGGTCCAGCATAAACTTAAGGATGACAGCTAACTCGGCCTGCACCATGGAGAGAACAGGAGCATCACTGTGGTGTCAGAGGGGCCTCTGAAGTAAGGGCTGAGGGGCTCCATGAGGCAATGCCCACCCCAGGTTCTCCTGAGCCCCCCTTTTCCTCTCAGAGCCAGAGCCCCACAGCCCAACCCACAGCACTCAGCAGCCCACGTACTTCTTTCCCTCTGTCTCCCCTAAAGATGCAGCCAGGGTCAGACTGCGTCCCTAACACACTTCACTTCCTGACTTCAGGGAAAGGGATACAGCCAGAAAGCTTTTACACCTAACCATGCTGGCCTCGTCCACATGACCCTTCTGGAGGAAAGGATGAGATAAACCAAGTAACAAAGACACACACAGATGGACAAACATGGACAGGGACACATATGAAGACAAAATTTCTATGTGTAATCCAAACACAGAAAACGATGAAATACATGTACATAAGAAAGGTCTTGGAGTGCCGGGGACTTAGCTCAGTGGCACCATGTCTGCCTTCTAAGCACAAGCTCCTGAGTTCAATCTCTGGCACCAAACAATTAAAAAGAAAGGTCTTGGAAATCTACCCTTGAAAGTATGCGGTTATCTCTGAGAATGAGGAAACCAGTAAGCGTTACTTCCTTCTCTGTGCCTCTCAATACTTTCTGGATTATTTTCTATAAAAAATGTCTGTCATGGGCCAGGGATTTAACTTAGTGGTTCCACCGCCTGCCTCACAAAGCACAAGGTCCCAAGTTCAATCACTGCTACCAAAAAAAGGGCTATCATTACTACAACCACAGATTTTCAGAGAATACGCATTATTTAAAGAGAAAGAAAATGGGTGAGGAACATCCAGGCTTGGTCCAGGAGCAGGGTGGGGGACAAGAGCTTACCTGAATCCTATATTCAAACTGTTCCCAGTCCCGGAGGTTTTGGGAGCTCATGGAAGAGTGATATAAGAGCAGCATGATTATCTAGAAGCCAAACAGGAAGCAGTCACTGAGGAGGGGTGTCCCCTTCCAATGTGCCCAGTCAGGGCTTTTCAGGAACTCTGAGCTATTCTCAAGACTCAATGCCTGTATGGCTAAATACCTGGGCTCATGGAATCAAGTTCAAGCACCTGTACAGTAAGGCTAGCACCCAAGCGGCAAAAGGAACAAAGTAGACAGAGTTGCAAAGAAAAATATGCTGATCACATGATGAGACCTGATTTCTGTCAGGTCTCTATTGCAGCCCATAGTGTTGGTCTAGGAAACTTCTTTTTCAGAAGATCATAGATCTCTGTGCTCTGGCTAAGAAGGGTGGCTGTCTGGTCCTACTCCAACTTTCAAGAGTCCCAGAAATAAAGCACTCACCATTCCCCTTCGGGTTAACCCAGCCTCCAAGTTTGATATTTCACAGGTACCTTGGCCAGTTCCAGCTCTGACCCCTCCATCACCTTCTGCATGGACACAAGGCATTCTGGGAAAGTGGGGTGTTTTCGATTTTCTGCAATGACAGCAATGTAGAAAACAGGGTGAACTCCCTGGGAATCATACCTGAGACCATCCAATACCTGAATCTGAGAAGCAGATGTACAGTCTGAGAGGACTATGAGATGTAGGGCTGCTCACTCCTTCATTCTCTCTCCCCGGCTACACACTTCTTTCTGAAGCTGCCTCTGCCCTGGGTCAGTCCAAGGGCTTTGGGGATAGTACAAGAAGAAAGCAGGCTAGGGATTCACAGCAACTCTGGGTCAGGACCCTGCCCTCACCCATCCACTCATCAACTTCCACTCAGCACCAGAGGTCACTCTAGAGCAATGGTGGCGAACTTTTTAGAGATAAGTGTCCAAATTACAATCCAAACCCACTCATTTATCACAAAGTGCCAATAGTGCAGTTAAACATGTACGCTGAGACTTTAGTTTAGAAAAAATAACTTACATATTAACATCTTTTGTCCTAAAGAAAAATACTTGCACCACAGGTTCAGCACCCCTGCCCTAGAGTCTCGCTGGATCTTCTCCTTTCCTCTATTCTGTTGAATGGAGATGGCAGACAGTTTCCCACTTTAAATGTTGTGATTCTGTGGTCCAAGGCTGGACCAGACAAGCAACTGACAAGCACTGTGCTAGAAGCTTCCAACGTATTCTTATTTAATCCCCCATCAACCTGAAGAGCAATTTCCTTTATCTCCACACTACAGACAGGGAGTCTACGTCCAGAAAGGGACAGCAGTGCCTGGGGTGAAGATCTCACCTAAATCAGCCTCTGCCCCTATGCCAATCACCTAAGCAATTGCCTGAGGAAAGCTGTGTGAGGAACACTTTTTCTCTCAAGGGAGATCAAGTAACATGGATCCATCTCTTTCCTCTGTCTCCTCAAAGTGAGGGAACTGAAAGCTAAGGTGAAAAAAATAAATTAATTAAAAAAAAAGAAGGAAAGCGAAGGTGATGGACACTAAATAGCAACCCCTCTGGCTATACACTGGTCTGAGGTGGGATCCAACACTGAAGGGACATAACTCATACACCAATTGGTAGAAGAGCTGGGGAGCTAACCCAGCTGTATGCATTTCTATGCTAGAATAGGAAGCCTTGAACCTTCTCTCCTCCAGAAACCCATGAATTGTTCCTCTGGCCCAGGTGCCAGGTAAGAAAGGCACTTACTCTGTAGGAAATTGCACACAAAATCCAGTCTCTCTGGTACCGGCTGCTGCAGGATTTGCTGCCCCTCTTCAGTGCCACGGCTAGAAAAAGAACAAGTATTAGGGCCTGAGTACTTAGTGGTCTCTGCCTCCTTGATGACATGCTACCTCCCTTCTCTTCAGTGTTCAGTTGACAAGGATCTAGGAGAGAACCAAGTCACATCTTGGAAGCAGGTGAAAGATACCAGAATACCATTTCTTCAGCTCTACTCTTGGTCAGGACTTGAGGCATGGAGCCCTTTCGGAAAAGATGGCACTTGCAATATAAAAAAATCTCTGTGGGAAGGGGGACAAGAGGAGATTGGTGGCACAGATGAATGGGAAGATTACTAGCTCACCTTGAAAAGTGTCAAGAATCCTGGAAAACATGGCTAGGTTAGCGTGTGAGGTCCATGGAAAGGGAAAACAGGGCTAAGAATTGAAAAACAGGAGGAAGCAAAGCTCTGAAGTGAAAGGGCTCCCACACTCCCACACTAGGCTGAAGATTGAGATGGCTGAAGGCTCCTAGAGGCGGGGCCGAGGGGCAGCCACTCTTGATTGGTGGCCTTGGCTTGTGTAACTGGAGAGGAGGGAGGCAGCAGGGGGCACTCTCACACAGCCAGGGCCAGCCCTGGGGGCCGCTCCAAACTACAGTTCGTTATCAGAGGTGATGACTACTGCTTCATCTCTGGAACAGGTTAGAAAGCAGACTTCTCTACTGGAGCTACAGCTGGTGATAATGATGAAAGGGACCTCCTCACAGCCTGGACCCGCGAGTCTTAAGGGACTTTCCGGAGGGGAGCGTAGGCCCTGCTTACACCCTTCCTGTGCCAGAGGCAGCCCATCAGGCCCAAGGAGCATCCAAGTCACTACGACGTGTTTCCTCCCCCAATTTGGGTCGCACCTCTGTGATCGCAAAGGCTTCTTCCAAGCAATGCTGGAGTCTTTAGGAGGCATGAACCTCACAGACTCCTTCCTGAATGATTCTTCTTCCCTGCCTACCCAAAGCTGGGAATGTAGGGACTCTGCCTCAGTACTTTCCATTAGTGTTCTAGGGTTAAGTAATTGGAAAAAAAATGGTGGATTAAACCAAAATGAACTTTTCTTCCCTCCTTCCCTACCTCCCTTTCTTTCTGTTTTTTGGGACAGGTTCTCACTACATATTTCAGGCTGGGCTTGCACTCAGTATGTGGTCCAGGCTGGCCTCAAACCTGTGGCAATCCTCCAGCCTCAGCCTTCCAAATGCCAGGATTATAGGCATGCACCACTACACCTGGCCCTCTCCTTATTTTGACAGTTCTAAGGATGGAATCCAAGACCTTGAACATACTAGGTAAACACTCTAACCCTAAACTACATGACCAGCGCCCCCCACATACACTCTTTTTTTTAAATTTTTGAGATGTGTCTAAGTAGTCCAGGCTGGCCTTGAACTCACAACCCTCCTGCCTCAGTCTCTTCAGAAGAGATTACAGATATGCACCACAAATCTCTTCCTCTCCCTTTAAAATCTCTCTCTCTCTCTCTCTCTCTCTCGCTCTCTCTCTCGCTCTCTCTCTCTCTCTCTCTCTCTCTTTCTCTCTCTCTCGCTCTCTGCTGGGGATCAAACCCAAGGCCTTGGATATCAAATGGAACATTTTCTAAAGAGGATATAACATATATTATTCTCTAAACTTGTCTGATACAGGCCCATCTAGGCCTCTGGTATAACTAAAATTACATGGAACGTGCTTTTTTTTTGTTTTGTTTTTTTGAGACAGGGTCTCACTATGTAGTTGAGACTGACCTGGAGCTCACTATGTAGCCCAGGCTGGTCTCGAACTCACAGCGATCCTCCTGCCTCAGCCTCCCGAGTGCTGAGATTACAGGCATGTCCCACCATGCCCGGCTGGAAAAAGCTTTGGAAAAGGCTAGTCCTAGAGAAATCCAGGCCATCCTTTAATACTGTGTTTAAGTCTCATCTGGCAGGAAGCCACTCAGAACTACTACGCACCACACCTCCACTGTCCTTTTCAAGTATTCCTGCAACACTCAACACAGGGGCACCACATACAAACCACCCACTCTAACTGTGCTAGCGGAAGTTGAGGCTCAGAGCATGTGAGCCAACTGACAGCTAAGGGGTGGTTTTTATGGGAAGAGCAGAGGTCAGCATCAGTAAGATGACTGCCAGGGCTTTAGGTTTCCTGGCAGTATGCCTCCATTCAACTTTGCTGTTCAAGCGTCACAGCCTTCGGAGATGAGACAGCCTTTTTGCTTTAGGCAGTTCACACACAGAATAAGAAGGAAAACTGTTAGAGGAATCATGCCAATGCATTTTCCCAAGGAACACAGCATTGTTCCATTCTCATGGCTTCTATCTGCCATTCTATCCTGCCATCCTCTTTAGTTCCTCCTGAAGATGAGGCTTCTGATTTAGATTAGCACCAGCAGGGCCAGGGATTTAGCTCAGTGGCACTGCACCTGCCTTGCAAGTGCAAGGTCCTGAGTTCGATCCCTGGTACCAAAAATTAAAAAAAAAAAAAAAAAAAAGTAATAACAATAATGTGTGTTGAGATTAGCACCAGTAGCAGTGGAAAAATGCAATAGTCAGAATATATTAATCCAGAAGGTCTATTTCTCTAAGTCTGCACTGTCTTAAATCTGAGATGCAGTTTAGGGCTGACCAGGGATTTCAGTAGCTCCTACCTTCAAGTGTCTCAGCCCAGTCTAATGCTCAGGAAGCATACTAGTAGACAACTTGGAAAATAGGCATCTTGAATATTTGCTTTTCCCTAGGAAAATGTTCTTCCAATTTATTAACTTACAATAGCTCAAGGGCAACATATATCCTAACTCTTAAAACATAGCTACTATCTACCGCTCTTGTCATTAGGCCAAGGAAAATGTGTATTTTCAAAAGCAAAAGTTTCTTGACCTAAAGTCAAAAAAGCACACTGACCCTACCATACGTGACAACACAAGGCATGTTCTATCTGGTTGCTTCACTTTTTGTTTTGTTTTTCTGAGACAGGGTCTGGGTATGTGGTTTAGGCTGGCCTTGAACTCGAAGCAATACTCCTGCCCTTACCTCCTGAGTGCTAGGATTACTCCTGTGTGCTACTATGCCCAGCTGCATTTTTAAGTGATGTTAAGATTGAACAGGGAGCTAGATACTACCAGCCTAATGGTTTCATCAGCCATTGACGATAGGTACTAAGATCTAGCACTTCATTAGCATTTGCAAATCACTGATTTATAGGTGGTGCACACCCCTGTGTATGAAGCATTCTTGCAAAAAAAAGAAAAAGAAGAGCCTTAAGTTAATCAGGCTTAGATCTAATTATCAGCTTACTGGCAACAAAGGAGAACACTTTAAGCAGCACCATAATGACGCAATTCACAAAAGTTAGGATTTAGGAATTTTCACAGGATCAAAATAATGGGATGAAGTGGCAATGGGTAGAAAGACACAAGCAGAGGGCTGGGGATTTAGCTCAGTGGTTACACCGCCTGCTTTGCAAGCGCAAAGTCCTGAGTTCGATCCCTGGTACCAAAAAACCAAACAACGAGAGAAAAAAATAAGGAAAGTGATTTCAATTTGGCCAGGGATTTAACTCAATGGTTCTGCCACCTGCCTTGCAAGCACAAGGTCCTGAGTTCAATCCCTGGTACAAAAAAAAAAAAGAAAAAGAAATCAATGCCAAGGAGGGAGGAATCCAAGGTGCTGCTAAGATGTCCTGCCAGTGTAAGTGGGCAAGGAAATGGTAGAGGATGACCAATAAAAATAAGAACAGTGATTCCTTCAGAATCACTAAGGCTGGTACTGGTCAGAGCCATATGAAGTTTTTAAAAATCCCATAAGACACCTCATTATCACCACACATCTCAAAAGACACCAAAAGGTGCCATATGCCTATAATCCCAGCATTCAGGGCTGAGGCAGGAGGGATGCTGTGAGTTCAAGGCTGGCCTGTGAGAAACACAGTAAAGTTAAGAACAGCCTGACTACATTCAAGTGTTGAAGTCATCTGTCCCAAGCAACTCAACCCCACTAGACTTTACTGATGGGGCATGCCAAGTCTGGAAGGGGATATAAACAGAACTAAGATGTGTTATGGACAAGTTCCCACTGCCCATGATGAATGTAATCATTATGCATTGTAAACATGTACTAATAAAAATAAAAAAAGAAAGAAAACAGAGACTGCCAACTCCATCTTTACTCACTCATCTACTAACCTAAAAACTACTTAAAACCTAATTAATGTCCTAAACTAGGCAGGGACAGGAATGAGACACAGCTCCTGCCTCTGATATATCCAGTTCTAGTACCTTCTTTTCACCAACCAGTTGCTCCCTACAAATGGGTGATCAACTGCTTCAGAGAGATGTGAATCCTTGTCAGGATTTCTAATTTTCATGTATGGCACACAGACACCTTCGGCACTTCGATCTATCCTTGGCCTAGAGTTTGTGGCTTATCGTGCTTTCCTTTAAAAAAAAAGGGGGATGGGGGGGCCCCGGGGATTTAGCTCAGTGGTTCTGCCACCTGCCTTGCAAGTGCAAGGACCTGAGTTCGATACCAAAAAAAAATAAAATAAATGGGAGAGGAAGAAGAAAAAAAAAAAGAATGAAGAGGAAGAGGGGGGAAAAAGAAAGGAGAGAGAGGGAGGGAGAGAAGAGGAAGGGGAAGAAGAAAGAAAAGGAGGTAGAAGAAAGGAGGAGGAAGAAAAAAAAGAAGAGAGGAGGAGGAATAACAATACTATCAGGGAAGAGGGACTCTATTACCAGCCCTTTAACTCCTTATTTTAAGGCTGGCCTCTAATTTTGCCTATAGGACAAAGATACCAGGAAAGTCAGCTTTGCCCTCTGAAATTCCTGAAATTTGATGAACTATAAAAAGTAACAAAATTGCTTCCAGAGTGAGGGATCTTAGCTTTGACACAGGTGAAAAATGACCAGATCCCCGTGCTGAATACACAGAAGTCAAGTAAGAGGCTGAACTCGAATCCTGGCTGCAAGACAGCAAGCTTATCAAACTCTGATCAACCTCATACACAAGTTAAAGGGGCAGGTAAAAATCCCAGAAACGCTGTAACGGCTTAGGAAGGGGCACACATAGCCTGACTACGCCAACTCCCTCAAGCGTAGGAGCTCCCCCTTTCTTATTCCTGGCCCCAGAGGTTGCACAAACCAGCTTAGGAGAGAGACTGCTATGAGTCAAGAAGAGAGGTCACAGAAGACTCCTGAGGAGACAAGCGGTTGGGGTGGGGGTAGAGGGCGCTGGAGGCCTTGTGTTCAAAAGTAAGGAAGACTTCAGATGGGACAAGGCTGAATCCTAGCCTGCTGAGAAAATCACTCACTGGAGGATGAGGTCAGGACCTCCCAATCACAGCCAGCCCATGCGAGAGGCTCGGGCAGGGCAGCTGGGGAGGGGCATCATACTCACATGCTGTCAATGATCTTGATGAAGATGCTGCAGTCCTGGAGCTGCGGCACGGTCTCCACTGGGTCAGCCACACGCAGACTATTCACCTGCGGGCCACAGGGAAGAGCCTGGTGAGACCAGAGAAACGGCAGAAACGGGGTCTGCGCCTCTTCCACATGCTGGTGCCTCTCTACTCATAGTGAAGGCTGTTGTAGGCCACAGATGAGTCCAGGATTTGTCCTTATCTTTTTTGGGGACTGGGAGTTGAACCCATGACCTTATACTGAGCTCCTTCCCAGCCCTTATTTATCTTTTATTTTCAGACAGGATCCACCAAGTCATTAAATTGCCCATGCTGGGCTTGAATTTGTGATCCTCCTGCCTCAGCCTCTGCAAATACAGGCATGCACCACCACACCCTGTTGTTCCAGGATTTTTAATCTCAGCAAAGAACACTGCTGTACTCATTCATCCAGAGAAAGTGCCTCGCTCACGGCCACCTGAAGTGCTACCATCACTGGCCTTTCCTAGGCTTCAACCAACAAGAACCTATGCTCCCCTGGACATCCCAGCACCTGGGCTGATTCATACAACTGGGTATAAAATGGACCTGGAAAACTCCACAAGAAACTGCTACCACCATTCCCTCCAGAGAGAAATGATGGAAGACAGTCTGAGGCAGAGAAAAAGGAGCTTTGCATTAAGGACCTCAATAGGTCTTACATGTTTACGATGTAACTCCCTATATGTCTTGAATGTCTATATAATTCTGTATCTTTTCAATGTTTATATTATTATCGCTTGAATTTTTATTTGATAGCCCTTTATAGCTCTTGAATTTTGTGACATCTATGCAAAACTTAGTTAGGTTAGACATTCCCATACACAGATCTAAAAATCTTATTAATACATTTATAAAATGCTTTCCAATCAAAAAAGGAAGGGAAGGGCCAGGGATTGAGCTCAGTGTTGCTGCCACCTGTCTTGCAAAAGTGCAAGGTCCTGAGTTTGATCCCTGGTACCAAAAAAAAGCGGGGGAAGGAAAAACAGTGGAAGAGCAATACTCTTTAAAAAAGAAAAGGAAGGACAAGAGGAGCTAAGAACCCCTTTTTCAATTTCTCAACTCTAATTTAACTGTCTGTTCCTTTTTTTTTTTTTAACTTCAAGCAGATAGCCATCTAAATCAGTCTTCATACAAGGAAATTCACCAGGGGTCACATACAAATGAATGATACACAGGTTTTTCAAAAAACTGAAAGGTGTGACTGAAAAATATGGTGTAAATAAAAATATATATTAACAGTAAAAGACAATGCCATGAATTCCCCTCAAAACAGTCCTCCTCACTGACACTCACCCTCCTTGTCACTTTCTGAAATAGTTCTGGAAGTCACTGTTCATGAGTGTCATCACTGTGCGGTCATGGCTGCCTCGATGTTCTGAATCGATGCAAGATTTCATGGTCATTTTGACTTTGGGAAGGAGCCATATGTCAAACAGTGCCAGATCTAGATCCAGCGACTAATGTGGATAAAGACACACCACAATGTTTTTAAGAGCCTGCCTTTCCATTGGACGGCAGTCTGGTGACAGCAGTCACACGTTGTAAAGACACTCATGAACGGCTTCGGAAAGTGGCAAGAATGATGGGCTAGCCAGGTGTGGTGGCACATGCCCATAACCCTACCTAAGGCAGGAAACTGCAGGTTTAAGACCAGCCTGACAACTACATATTTGACCAAAATAAAAATGGGTAGGGGACACAGCTGAGTGTGACAGTCTACAGTTTAGTACCCAGTACCACAAAGGGAGAAAAAAATGTGTTTGAAACAAGGGGTAGCATTTTGAAGGGAATTAATGGCAATGTGTCTTTTATTATAATAATTTTATTTTTTTCTTTTTTCACTGTAATAAATTTTAAAATTTTTTAAATTCAGTTTTTTTTGGTATCATCAGGATCTCATCTCAAAACAAAAATGAAATCCAACCAACAAATCAAACAAAAAGCCCTAACTAGGAGCTCACAGATACAAGTTTAAGGCCTATTTCCTCTACTAACCTGCCAAAAGCTTTTTTAACAACTTTTTCTCTCTGTGCCTATTTTCTCCCTTGTCAAACAGAAGAAATCCCTACCTTCTCTACTAAAAAAGGACCACTCTGGCTGTTCACAAAACAACTTTAAGCTATCCTTTAAGACAAAACAAAACAAAACAAAACAAAAAACACCACCATCTCCTCATGCTACTATTTTAATTCATCCACTGTTACTTAGCATTTTAATAACTTTTTGTCCAGTACTGAGGACTGAACCTAGGGTCATGTCTTCTACTACTGATCTATATCTCCAGTACTTGAAGTTATTCTAGTCTTTTTTTCCTAGGTAGTTTTTTAAAAACCACAACTGTAATTTATGGATGGGTGTATTCTATACTGCTCTTCTCACTAACATAACGGAAAGCATATATGTATGGTTTTTTTGAGACAGGGTCTTGCTATGTAGTGCAGGCTTTGAACTCTCTACGTAGCCCAGGCTGGCCCCAAACTCAAAGCTATCTGGGATTACAGACGTGTGCCATCAGGCCTGGCTCAGAAGCCATATTTTATACAGTACTTATAGTTTCACTTTAGCCATACAGCTTGTTTAAACTGAAAAAAACTTTTTTTGGTACTAGGAATGGAACTTAGGTCCTTGCAAAGCAGGAAGCAGAACCACTGAGCTAAATCCCCAGCTGAAAAAACTCTATAATTATACTTTAAGATACTGGGGATTTAGCTCAGTGGTGCCACCACCTGCCTTGCAAAGCAAGGTCCCAAGTTCAATACCTGTGGGACCAAAAAAAAAAAAAACTGTACTTTAATATAGTTCATTACAACTTTTGAGAAAAATATACAAGTATTTGCTGTTAAATAACGCAGTTTTTTTTGTTTTGTTTTGTTTTGTTTTTTTGTTTTTCCAGTACTGAGGACTGAACTCGGGGCTCATTTGTTTTGTTTTGTTTTGAGACAGGGTCTCACTATGTAGTTTAGCCTGACCTGGAACTCATTATGTATCCCAGGCTGGTCTCGAACTCACAGCGATCCTCCTGCCTAAGCCTCCCTAGTGCTGGGATTACAGGCGTGTGCTGCCATGCCTGGCATGAACCCGGGTTTTTGGACTGAGCGATGTCCACAGCCCACACTTCCCTTTTTTTTTTTTTTTTTTTTTTTTGAGACAGACTAAGTGTTACACCAAGCTAGGCTTGAATTTGTGATCCTCTAGCCTCAGCCTCAGAGAGTGCTGGGATTACAGACCTGTTGTATCACACAACACCTGACCTAAAATTAGTCTTACGCTTTATTTTCTATAGTCAGTGTAGAGACAAACTTAGAACCTAAACAGACAAACTAATCTACATAAATCAATATGGCTACAGGCTCCCAGAATCCATGGTTTTCCCCCAATGAACTAGAGACAGTTCATTGGTCCCTGTAACCCAACAAGCCTTTTTATAGGAGAAGAGAAAGTAGGAAGAAAGAGCAATGTTTCTAGTACAGATATAAAATGCTGGAGTGCCAGGGATTTAGCTCAGTGGTGCCCCACCTGTCTCACAAGTGACAAACTCAGGTCCTGAGTTTGATCCCTGACACTGAGGGAAAACAAAAAACAAACAAAAAAAGATTTTAAAAAACCACTGGAATGCAATATAAATATAAAAACACCAGTTTTAAACTATACAACTGAACGTCGTAGTAATTCAGAAACTGCCACCTATGAATGCACATTTTGTACATTAAAAAAAATCTTCCTAAGAGATCTGGGTTATCAGTGAAGGCAACCTGTCTTATCAAATCCAAACTATTTGAAAATTAAAAACTCATTTCCTTTCAAATATTTGTTCGTTTGTTTTTGGTACTGGGGATTGAACGCAGGCCCTTGTGCTTGCGAGGCAGGCGCTGAAACCACTGAGCTAAATCCTGGCCCTTCCTTTAAAATATTTTTTAAAATTTTTATTTGCATTTATTTTATGCTTAATTTATTCCCATGCCATAAATTTTTGTTTTTTCAGGGATATCTTTTCCTTCTGAGCAACTTCATCCTCTGGTTTAGAACAGTTTGTTCCTTTCCAGTAAGGATCATCTATCTCGACATGGCCAGGGGAGTTCAGGTATGGCTCAATCCAGCCATGAGCTCTGGAAGTGCAGTGGTGCATCTTGGGTGCTGTGTTCCCCTGGATACGTTCGATGATCAGAGATTCCATGTCTAAACCCTTAGGCTCAGCCTTACTCTCTACATTTCTGAGCATGTGCAGCTAAAATTCAGCACTTTTTTGGGCCACGGCCCTGTGTTCAGCCACACCTACCAACTCCACCATTGTTAACACCAGAATGGCACACACTGCTTTTTTTTTGGGGGGGGGGTACTGGGGATTGAAATTGGGACCTTGCACTTGCAAGGCAGGCAGCAGAACCACTGAGCTAAACCACACATTGCTTCTTTAAAGTGACATCCTTCAGATACTTGGTGGCCTTTCAGATATGCATACCCTTGATGACCCGGGCAGTTTCACAGGTGTGCTTAAAGTGAACACAAAGAATTGTGTCTTAATTGACATGATTTTGTAAGGGTTTCTGGGTCAAGAAAATAGTAAGCCATTTTCGTAGGCTTCTTCAGGCCACTTACAGGAAGAGCTAAAATATTTTCTAATTTAAAATAAGGTGTTGCCCACCACCCACCTTTCAAGCACAAGGACCCAAGTTTGATCCCCCCCCCAAAAAAAATGGTATCAGGGACCGAACTCAGACCCTTGCACTTGTGAGGCAGGTGGCAGAACCACTGAGCCAAATTCCCGCCTAAAGGTTGGTTTTTCTACTGTCCTTGATTAATCAGTATTCAAAACAAATATAAAATACCCTGTGCCAACTAGCATGGCTAGGCGGTATCAAAAACTATTATGAGGGGCCAGGGATTTGGCTCAGTGGTTCTGTTGCCTGCCTCAGAAGCACAAGGTCCTGAGTTTGATCCCTGGTAACACCAAAAAAAAAAAAACACCAAACCATTATGAAAGCTGGGTGTGGTGGCTCATGCCTATAATCCCAGCACTCGGGAGGCAGAGGCAGGAGGACTGTTTGAGGCCAACCTGAGCTACATAATGAGTTCAGGGCCAGCATGAACTATAAAGTGAGACCCTGTCTCAAAAAAACAAAAACAACCTATTATGAGTCAGGGATTTAGCTCAGTGACACCATACCTGCCTCACAAGTGTAAGGCTGTGAGTTTGAACCCCAATACAAAAAAAAAACACCTATCATTAAAGCCAGGTGTGGTGGCATACCCCTACAAGCTTAGCACTGAGAGGCTAAGGCAGGAAGATGGTAAGTTTGAGCCTACCCCAGGCAACGTAGTGAGACCGCACCTCAAAATTAAAGAGGGGGGGCAAGGATGCAGCTCAATGCAAAGGCCCTGGGTTTAATTCCCAATACCACCAAAATAAATAAAACAAACCAATAACAAAAGATTATTATTAAGATATTATCCTAGCCAGAGGATTTAGCTCAGTGGTATTGGTGCCTGCCTTGAAAGCACAAGGTCCCGAGTTCAATCCCCAGTACAAAAACAAAAATGAAAACGAAAAAACAAAAAAAGAAACAAAGATACTATCCTAAATGGCTTTTTTTTGTTGTTTTGAGATATTGGAAGCTTAAAGATAGGGCCTTAACAACAAAGTATATCCCCAGCCCTTTCTGAAGTTTTTAATCATTTTAGAAAAAAAATTTTAAATTGTTTTGGGACGGGGCCTTGCTAAGTGGCTAAGTTGCCCAGGCTGAGCTCAAACATATGGTTCTCATTCCTCAGCCTCCCAGAGTTTTCAGATTATAAGTGTGCATCACCAACCTGCTAAATGGTTCCAATGATTTTGTTTTGTTTTTTGAGCACCATGCCCGATTGCTAAATGGTTTGGTGTATGTGTACGCTAAATGTTTCTCACTTGCATTATCTCATTATACCATAATATCCCATGAGGTATTACTGACCCTGTTTGCGTTTCCCCATTTTAAAAATTAGATGCTGGACTGGGGATTTAGTTCAGTGGCGTCCGCACATGCCTCAAAATCTCAAGGTCCTAAATTCAATCCCCAGTACTGGGAAAATAATAATAATAAAATAAATAAATAAAAACTTTTAAAAATGAGATGCTGAGCCAGGGATTCAGGATTTAGCTCAGTGGTTCTGCTGCCTGCCTCACAAATGCAAGGACCCAAGTTCGATCCCCGGTACCAAAAAAAAAAAAAAAAAAAAAAAA